GGGATGTTTTCTTGATGCACACTTAACCTTTATATAAAACTCTCTCTTACACATGAGTTTCTGTGGATTTGTTTCTCTAAAGTACCCAGACTAACACAGACCTCATTTGCAATTTATGTGCATTGTACTTAAGAGAAAGCTAATCACAGACCCATTAAAGATTTGCATATTATGATAATTTTCAATCAAAGGTTAATAATCAATATTGGTTTTGCTTCTTTGGATCTAATGAATTATTTATTGGGGGATTTTTTTTAACTGATAGAAGTGTCACTAAGAAGGAATTCCTTTTTCCTGATTCTTACAAATGTATTATTTGGGCTGGGGGAGGGCATGGCTAATAACCTATGTTGTTGTTGCTAGGTGCTTCCAAGTTAGTTGCAGGAACTCAAATGGCATAACAGGGATCTGTAATTTGTCATTTTATCTCAAATTATTTATGTCAATTTGTCTCAAATTATGTCATTTGATTTCCTGACGGTAAAATAGATCCAACTATTGCCCAGTCCTGCATCATCCTATGCTTAAGCCCATTGTTGAAGATTCTATCGAGTTGAGGGGCAGTCTCCTTCTAATTTAGCAAGAATGATGCTCATCTCCAAGGACCAGTCCATGCTGACAACATGTCCACGTGACCCAAGACTCAGGCTTGCCATGTGTAACTCTAAGTAGTTTTCTGGACCTACTTTTTCCAAGGCAGATTTGTTCATTCTCCTGGAGGTCCATGAGATAGTCAATATTCTTTGCCAACACCATCATTCAAAGGCAGTGATTCTTCTTCGGTCTTCCTTATTCATCATACACCTTTTGTGTGTCTGAGGAGATTAAAAATGCCATGGCTTGGGCCAGGCGCACCTTAGTCTTCAAAGTGTAGCATGACTTTTTAAAAACAGTTTAAGAGATATTTTTGCAGCATAATTGCCTGGTGCACTATGTCATTTGATGTCTCTTTACATTTTCTCAGTTATTGCATGTTTTTATTGTGAATTTAATGGTTTACAGAGCAGATCATCAGTTTTACCTTGAACAAGTCATGTATATTTTCTTTCATGTCATTCATTAAAATTTCCTCAATGTAACATCATTTATCCCATTTTCTTCCTGCTTCCATTCCTTCCTTCTTTCCTCACCCTTCTGGACTTTGTCCATGAGGCAATACTGCCGCTTTGATCTTAGATGGCGATTATTCTAAGGAAAGCATCCTTCACCAGTGTCGCTATTCCCCTTAGGAGGCTGTCTGTTGTTTGCCTGAGAACTGAGCCACGGGAGGAGTTCGGTTCTAGACCTGAAGAGTAGCAAATGGCATTAATCCCAGGTGTTCCACCAACCGTGATTGCATTAGAAAGCCTGGTCTCATAATTCTGAGTTTCGCTCCACATTTTTCTCCCACACTATATAGACCCTTCTAATATGATCCTTCCCAGAGAAGTTGGTAGCAGTAGCTGGGCATCACCTAGTTCTCCTGTTCTCAGGGTCATAGAGACTGAAGTTTTCATGGTCCATTACCACACTGAACCAAGTCTTTCCATACATCTTCAATCTCCTTGACTCTTCTTTCCTCCAGACCAGGAGAAACCAATAGTTATCTCTTCGGTGGCCACTCATAAACTAAGTAATATCTGGGTTTCTGCTTACAAGAGTAGGGTGTAGAAGACTGTCTTGGTGGACCGTTATGTCCTTTGATTTCCTGATGACTGCTTCCTTGGGCCCTGATTGTAGATCCTAGTAAACTGAAATTCTTGACAATTAAAATCTTTTCTTCATTTATCATGTCACTTAATGATCCAGTTGTGCTCTTTAAGTCCTTCAAGAGGACGTGTGAAGTCCAAAGGACTGATGAAGATCAAAGACAACAGCCTCGGTACAAATTATGGCTCAACCTACTCCCAAAGGTGTCTTATAAATCAGCATGTTCCTTGAATTTTATCAACTACTTTGAGTATCTCCAATTGATGATCAAGTGTCAGCATTAAGATAGGCAAGCCATTAACTTTATGAGATGAATGTTCTCTTCCATATGATTAAGGTTTTGACCAAATGATGATTGTGATCCTGTTCACC